GTACACATCGAAATAGATTTTTGTATACTTTGCTGTTGGTTGTATGTATTTTTTTATTTATTGTTCTGTAATTCTTTTGGTAAGTATGCAGACTTTTCCTAATATCTTTTTTCGTTATTTGGTTGTCGTTCGAGTCTAAAAATTTTATTTTTCCAAGGATCCTTTCAGCTTGATACAAATATGTTCATGATGTAAATTAGGGTGGTCCTTAAAACATCAACATCATTGGGTCCCCTATATTTTGTTGGACGTACACGACATCCGCGAAAGTTTCAAAAAATAAAACAAATCTCGGTTTGAAGAAAACTACATTTTCTTAAAATGCAAAAAATCTATAAAATATTTATTGTAACCAAGCTATAAATCAGTGAGTTTATTAATTTATATGGATAAGTTTCAATAATAAGTCAAATTTATCAGATTTAAGGTATGTAAGCATTTTGTAAATTGTTTGCGATTTAAATTTTTTTTTAAGCTTTAAAATTTCGTGGATGTCTTTATTTTCTACGTAGAACAAAATAAAGGGGGCCCTATACAAAATTTAGATGTTTTTATTTTAAAGGCCACCCTAATGTAGGTACATGTCCTTTATTATACAACTGGATTATATGTATATTTATGTTTGCGTATGTATGGATTTAGGAAAAAAATATGGTCTCTATAATAGCCCTGTTCCACACGAGCTCTCTGGTACCTAAAACAGCCCAGATAGCATTCCTCGCGCTAGAAAAATGGTAATAGAGAGCCAATACTTTCCACTTTTGGATCGTAAATGTCATCTTCTTCGGTATAATTGATCTACTTTCGTAACATCACAAATAACAAAACTCAGCTGATTTCTCAATTCCGGGCACTAAACGAAATTTTCTGCGTTCCTCACGCCCTGGCAACTTTTGGCACATTCTGAAATTTATGTGAGAGTAATTTTTCTTACTCTTTAATTACCGGACCCAGCCCGGCAAGCGTGTGGAACAGAGGTAGGTTATAGCACATTTTCAAAAACTAGTGTTTTTGTATTTAATTCAGCATCCAATTTCGTGAAAGCTAACCAAATTCTCAAAAGAATGTACTACAGGCCTTTAAAAATTTTTAAAAATCTAGGAACGTAAAGGTGATGGTTTTTTAATAGTAAAAATCGTAATTGAACCGTTTCAAACGAATTTCGATTCGTATAATCAAATTTAAAGATTTTTCATGGTTTTTATGTTTTCCATCAAAAATAATTGTTAAATTTCGATTTTTATTTTTTCGCTCAAATTTAATCGTTATTTTGTGAATTTTATGTTTTCGAACACACCATAAATGCTATTTTCAGATTTATTTTTTTACGAACACAGAAGATTTAAAACGGTCATAAAAATGCACTCTCCAATATAACTGTTAAAAATTATCGAAAAATATAGAAATCACAAAATAATGAACTAAAGATAAAAATATTGGTATTTAATGGTTATTTTCGGTCCGTGTTAAACACTGCTGAAAGTTGTTGAAACCTTTATTTTGCCAGCTATGATCAAGGCCAATTTTCCTTTTATTTTCACCCGTCAAAGAAAACTAAAGGTGTTTTCGTTTCTACCAAAGAATGTTGCCTTTTGATGCCCCTTTACAGGGTTGAGTATAATATCAAACACATTTTGCACTGTGGAACATTTTTTGGAAGAAACGAAATCACCGTAAATCTTTTTTGAGGCTTGTGGATCGCTGAGTTCGTAATTGAAGTCGAAATTCAATTTTTACTTTTGTGGACTGTTTAAGGTACATTTGTGGTACCTATTTATTTATTTACTTTTTTCGTTTTTCTTTTTGTATTTATGTTTTTATATAAGCTAATACTAAAACGTACTGTACTTTTAAATAAATATTGATTTTTTTTTTTCAAAAGTACATTCATTTACACAACTGTGCGTTTGTTCCAAAAACATTTAAATGCAAATACATACATCTTTACTAAGTAATACATATTATGATTATATTATGTCTTTATATGTGTGTACATATTTATAAAAATTCGTTTATGCCTCATTGCGTTCAATTAATTTTAGCATTTGGATTCTTTTTTCTTCGTTTTCATTTTACACTTCAAAAATGCTTCTCTAAAAATACTTTAAGCTCTGCTAATAAACATATTTACTTTATTTAACATGTATGCAAACTACATAGATATATATTTGGTACATATATTACGGCGGGTCGATTTTTTTTTTGACTATGTGCGTATAACATAAGAAGATTCTACGTATGCCTCTAATCAAATTTGCTGAAGAAACCATGGGTGTAAAATCAATTTGGAGTTTGCCAAACTGCGGAAATAGGTTTCGAAATTAGCAAAATTTGAATTGCTTTTCTCAATCTGGCAAACTATAAATAGATTTTAGACCCATGGTTTCTTCTGCAAATTGGTTTAGAATTACACATAGAATTATTCTGTGTATAGCACACCCTCGAAAAAATCTCCCATACAAATTGACCCGTCCTAACATACATACATATATTGCATCATATTTTTACGAGTATAATGTATTTTTTCCTTAAATTATAACAAAAATCGAACTATGCAGAGATTTATAAATTATTCAGGTATTTGGTGTGCTCCTGTAGCACACAATTTGGCTTTTGCATCTCTGAGTTTTTTCATAAACCAGTTTTTCCAGCTTATTTTGTCCAGCCGTTTTCGAGATACCGAATTTTGGAAAAAAGCATTGCTTTTTTAAAATGCCCATAACTTTGCGAAAACAGGGCCTATTGGGACAGTTTTTTTAATTATTACTTTTCAACATAAAATCGAAAAAAGTTTCGGAAACGCATTTCTATAAAAATTTTAATATTAAATTTCAAAGTGATAGAAAATTTCTTGACTGACAATTTAAAAATTTTATAAAAACACGCGTTTGAAATTTTTTTTCGATTTTACATTCCAAAAGTGTTTTGAAAATCAAAATTAAAAAAAAGGTTACTGGCGAACCTTTTCTCGCAAAGTTATGGGCATTTACAGAATGGAAGCTTTTTTCTTTCAAAAATCGGTATCTCGAAAACGGTTGGACCAAACAAATTGGAAAAATCATGGTAATCTCTCACAACTGGTAGCATAACATATTATGAAAAAATTCGGAGCCGCAAAAGCCAATTCAAAATGCAGAAGGGTATTTAAGAAATTGAATCAGGTTAATCAGAAAGGTAAAAATATTGCATTGCAGAGGAAGAAATACTCTTTTGTTATCGTTTTCCTTAATGTTTGATCAAACGATTGGATACTGCTCCATGGCGTATGAGTTAAAAAAGAGAATCACTGAATTATGTAGAGAATTTCTCCGTCTACAATGTAGTGTTTTGTTTTTTTTTTGTGTAATTTTGGTTAGACGAAGTGAAAATTCTTGGCATTGAGTTAGACAAATTTTGTTAGTTTTCCGTAATTTTAAAGATTCGAAAAGAAATAGATCCCACTGTTATCCCATTATAGAAATAGGCTATAAAAATTTTTCCAGAAAAGCGATCAGTACGTATTTTTTTTTAGAAATCAACACTTTATCTAAAAAAACTTTTAAATTCAATGAAAATTTTAGAGAAATACGGTTTTGAAAATTTTCTCAAATTTATATTGCGAGAGTATTTTTAAAACAAATTATTTAATAAAATTTGAAATTTTTGCAAAGTTATAGGTTTTAAAAACCAAGAACATTTTTTTTCAATCGATATCTCGAAAAGGGATGGACAAAAAAATTTGGCAAGCTTCTCTCAATTGGTGGTATAACATTAAATAGTATGAAAAAAGCATCGGAGATGCAAAAGCCAAATTGAAATTGACTGCAACTCCCCAAATATTTTTATTATTCGAATGTATACTTATTAGCTAAGAGTATCTAAGTATACACAACATTACATTTATAATCCATACAAAACCTACCAGCTACTAACACATATAAAACTACTAATATATGTATATATATATATGCACATACATCCATATGTAGATAAACATATGCATAACATCTAAAATATCTACGAATGCCAGCGCAAAATCTATAACTACACTTACATACTACATATAACCAAGTTAAACTGTTTCGACTTTAAAACAAATCTATAACTATTTAACAAATTTAATATTTAAATTAACCCAAAGGCGATATATTACCGCACTGTTAACAAACTTAAATTACATCTCCCGATTAACCCAACCATAGCCTGCTTTTTGCCAATATAACAAATTAGTAAATAGTACTGCATACACATCCAAATACGAAATTAATATCACTTTTGCGAAAAAATATTTTACACGTCTGGGATTTTTCGTTTTTTACTTTTAATTATTTTCCGTTTTGGCGTATTTTATTGTTGTTGTTGTTGTTGTTGTGTGGTTTGTTTCAAACTCATATGTGTTACCTAGTATGTCTGAGTATGCTGCTGAAAATTTTAGTAACTCCATCATCCATTGTTGCATGTGTGTACACATTTTAATATTCCCCCCCCCTTCGCCCCTCTTTCTACCCTTAACACAGCACATGACCGAGGCACCAACATTTATGTGTTTCGTATTGACAACGTCATTGATTGAAACGGCTACATTTAGTTGCTGCTGCTGGCATTGAATGTCACTGTGACATTGACAGCAGCACCGTTATCACCGTTATTGTCAGTGTGCGTAAACATATCAGCGATGGAAAAATATCAAAGACGTTGACAACAGCCCTGCAGACGGCATCTATAATTTCCATGCCCAACTTGGCTTGACTTTTGTCACTGTGGCTAGCAGCAGCAGCAGCAACCTTGGCACCTGAGATACTCGCAGATGACATTTGTTCATTGACAGCTCGCCGCTTACAAAATACCCGAACATACATACATATGCATGTATGTGGCACAACCTTTAGCTATATTGTTGATGCAAACAAACATGCAACAACCTGTTTCTATTTTTTTTTTTTTTTTTTTTTTTTTTTTTTTACACGTTTTTTTTCTTTTTTTTTTTTTTTTTTTTTTTTCAAATATAAAATCAGTGCAGCTCCTTATGCGTTCAAGGAATTCTCATCACCTTTGTTGGCTCCATTACATCCGTTCATGCCCTTCATGTCATGGTGCATGAGTGACGTTTCAATGTGTATTTATGTGATGGGCCCTTGTTGCCGCGTGCCGCACCCGCTCCCGCGCTGCTGTAGGAGGGTAGCGACTGTCTTCGCCGCCTCACGGCCGGACTCAGATTGTAACGTATGTCCGCCTGCACCAGCAGCTCTTTAAAGATCTCTACAATGCCCACATTCTCTTTCGCTGAACATTCGATGTAGCCACATTTCCAATCTTCGCACACAATCATTTCGGTGACTTCATGCTGCACCTGCCGATCAGCCTCATTTATGTCCACCTTATTGCCAACGATGACAATGGGCACTTTGAGGCCACGCGCTGCAATTATCTGCAATGGAAAATTAAATAGAAGAAGAAGAAGAAAAACCCGGAGGAGAATTTGATGAATGTGTCATAAATATTTGAGTTGATTGAGTTCATGCGCGTACGAGTGTAAAATGTATAAGTATGTGTTCATAAATCCAATTTAATTAATATTGAAATGGTCAATAAAATAATATTGCATTACATTGGAATTTGAGCGAATGACATTGGCATATACATATGTATACATCCTAACGTATGTATATGGTATTGCATATTTGGAAGGTCAAGGTCGCTGAGCTAAATAATTATCACTGGCCGCAAAATCGAATATGTAGACGCGTTTAAATGTGCACACAAACATTAGGGTAATCACCCTGTCTTTTTGAAATCGTTTTACACTAAATTTGGAAGGCAACTATGCTAACCCTAGGTACCAGAAGCATCAATGGCTCCTTGGGAACTTAACCCTGGAAAAATGTCCCACTCGGTACCCCTCAGGTCGGGGGTTTTTCTTCCCTGCTGTGGAACCTCGTACTAAATGAATTTCTTAGGTCGATGTGTTCACAGATGCTTTAAGTCATTCTGTTCCCGGGGAAATTCATCTCGGTGGTCTACAATCCACATTTAATGATCTGGCAGGGCGGGCAGAAAGAAATGGTCTAGAGGTTAACCCCTCCAAAACCGAAATTGTTCCGTTTACCAAGCGATTTAAAGTGGGTTAATTTCGAGTTCTGTCACTTAATAGCGCAAGCATTAAATTGCCGAAGGAGGCAAAATATTTGTGGGTTATTCTCGGCTCTCGACTTTTCTGTAAAAAGAATACCGAAGAGCGGAGAAGAAAGGCTCTTATTGCGCACTACTCCTGTAAAGCTACGATTAGGAAAGACTGGAGGCTACGACCTATGGCGCGCTGGTATGATGGGCGGTGGTTGACACCAATTCCCATTTACTTAATATGGGCGCCCATGCGCAGCGAGAGCGCTAGAGGCACTCCTAAACATTCGGCCAATATGTTAAAAGTGCCGCGGCTAAATGCACTCTACGGCTCAGGGCGAACAACTTGCAAGGGTCATGCCACCATACCCCTCATAACTAGTGGCGGTTGGGTACTGCAGCTATAATTATTAGGTCACGGAAACTGACTTTGATCGAAACTTCGATATCCATTTTCCCGACAGGAGTGACTGGGCACTTAATATTGTTCTGAACGATAACGAAATCACCTTTTTCAGAATTCGCATTGGTACGAGAGCTGTGATTTATTCAGTTTGGATTCTTCTCGGATCTATTCATCTCTTTCATAAAAATTCTATTTATCACCGAAGATAATTGTCCCCATTGTGTATTCTTTGTTCAGCCCACTAACCTATCTTGGACTACTTCTACTCATTTGCTCACCTGATTTCTTAGTCGTTCCACCTCGCACCATGACTGCTTGTCGTCCACCGCATAGACCAGAATGAAAGCACCCGCTGTTGATATCGATAATGTGCGCATTGCTGGGAACTCATACGAACCGGATGTATCTAAAATGTCCAACGTCAACGCTGAGCCATCGGGCAGCTCATATTCACCTCGATGCAATTCCTCCACCGTCTGTTTATAACGTGTTTGAAATTTATCATAGAGGAACTGTGAGATGATGCAAGTTTTGCCGACGCGTGCCGCACCCATCATGACGACACGTCGCTGTTCCTTGCGTATCGTCGAGGCGGAGTAGTCAGTGGTGGAGGCGCGTGATGTGCGCATCACTGCCGCCAGTGAGGGTAAACGGAGACGTTGGCACGACCCTGGCATGGCTGCGGCAGGGTTGGTGGTACTGAGGCGACCACTGAGTGCCACAGTGGCGGCTGTAAGTTGGGTTGGAGCTTTTGCTGAATAAACTTAACACTTCCTCGTCGCTCGACCTGCCTCTTACTGTGGCTCGTTGCTTTGTGCTTCGGTGCACTTCTTTGCTTTTGTTTTTGTGTTTGTGGATGTTGCAAGTTGAGCTGCTGCTACCGCTATGGAATGGCAAATTGGCGTCTGTTGCACTCTGCGACTCAACTTTGTGTCGTAAAATGTGTCTGCATCAATTATTTCTCTTCGATTTATTTTAATTGAATTGCTTTGTGTCCTGTAGAGTTTCGCCGCATGTGCGTTGATCCTTTTTGAGCAATTATTACTGGCCAGCTGAAAATCAGCATTGGTTTTCAATTCATTAAACGGAAATATTTTGTCCTTGTCCTACTTTCAATTGACTTTAATACCACAACTATTTTCAATTCTATGCAATGCTTCGATTACGATTGCCTAAAAGTATCTGCAAAGAACGAGAATGTAATAAAACGAATTAGTATAAACTTTTTATTAAATCGAGATCAAAATAAAAAAGTTGAAATTATTTTCAAATATAAGTTAACTTTTTTGGATTATTTCGAAGAAAAAATCATTCGCCTAAACCTTCGACGAATCAAATATGTCAACCTCACTGACAAGGCGAAATATTTGCAACGACGATAGGTATGCAGATCAATATTGGTATCGACAATAATACCGTTAATCATATTCAAAAATTCTGTTGAAGTGCGATTTCGAACATTTTTGCGACCAAGTCTAATGTAGACACTTAATATGGGATATTTTATGTCTAAAGCAATATTTTTTTATTAATACTCGTAGCACATGTAGATACTTATATACTCGTATACACATATTGGAATGCATAAACGGTTATAATTTAATAAAAAAGTAATTTGAGTTTTAAACCAAATACAAATTTGATTATCTTGAGGATTATAAAAAAGTGTTCACGGCATTAGTTCACTCTTGATGCCTGTCAACAAGTCCTTTATTTAAATTGCCACCCATTAAAGAGTGGTAAAAATATTAATTTATTTTTTCATAAACACAATTCATCGCATTCATAATACACGCACGTGGCATTATTATATTGCACATAAAAAGCACTCAGCATTGCCAAGTTAGAGCTTTGAACAATAAATTGCTGCCATTGGCAACAAAGGTTCAAAATAGAAGCACAAAGAGGCAAATATATACATATATATGTAAGCTTCTAGCCGGATGCAACTTTTGTTCATATTTAAATGAAAATGGCCTTCGCAGAAACCTGTTATTTTCTGCGGTTTAAAAATATTTAAAGTGCTATATATGTATGTGTGTATGCATGAGATGTGCACTCGCATAAAAACCCCGCTGGGAAACCGCAGACTAGTCAAAATCAAATTTCTAGTGCCGTACTAGAATTTTATTGCCAAAAACGATTCAGTCCAATTGTAACTAGATCCCTACCAGTCCAAAATCAGCGTAATGTGGTATATTTAAAAAAACTATTTTATTTCACTTTTTCCATTATAAATCTATATCTAAGGTGACGAATTTAGAACTGGTTCGGAACTATCGAAAAAGTGATGAAGCGGGGACGTGTTTACTTTACATAGATATGTGTTTGGCTGCTTTTTCGTTCAAATACGCTTTCATTCCGCACTTTGCAAATGCTTTTTCATAGTTTGGTAATACAAAACTAACATTTATGTTAATATTTTAACATCTTAGGACCGTCTGGAATCTAACCAGTAACAGCAAGCACCGCTGCAAAGTCATCACTCAAACAAATTTAATTTCAAATTGAAAACGCACTTCTTTGAAAATAATTTAAAATCGTACATACCTAAGAACCAAAAATATTGAAAAATCATTATAATTTTTTCTTTCCTCTGTCGATTTTAGAACTGGTTCGGAACTATAGAAGGTAGGACTAGTTCGGAACTATGGAAAAAGGGATGCAGCGGGGGGCAATTGACACTTCCTAGGACATCTCCATGTTAAATTCGCCAGTTTTTTGCATACAAAAGAGGGCGCTAGTTCCGCCCTATAAATTTCAGAACTATCTCCGAACTAATGCAAAACGGCTGCAGAGAGGGACAGTTGAAACTTTTGGTGTGCTAGTTGCACTCTGTTAAGAAGTAAATGCACAAATTCTCACTTCGCGTACAATACTAAAAAAGCTCAGCGGGAAGACCTCCGACTCTAACATCGTTGGTCGCGAGCTCAAATCGCGGTGGAGGCAGTTGTGATTTTCAGATTTAATAAATTTAAATTGTTGAGCGCCGCTTAAAAATTTAAGAGATAATTATCAAATTTAATATAAATAAAATAAAAGAATAAAAAATTAAATAAAATGCAAACCGCAAAAAAACAAAAAAAAAATTAAAAAGATATCAAAAAATCGAATAATCAAATTTTTTTTTAAACAAAACTTATTGTCGCATATCTGTCCAAAATGAAAACAGTTCAGAAAAGAAAAAAATATCCTGTAATCTAGTTTCAAAATTGTTTCTCATAAAAAACTTATTGTCCTAGGATTGTCGTAAATGGAGGCCGTTCAGAACTAGTTCGAAAGTTTCGCAGATGTGGCAATTTCCACTTCGTAGGACATTGCCATGTAAAAAGAGATAGTTGAAAGAATTGCGTTGGGATAGATCGAGAACCAGTACCGCCTCTTAAAGAGCTAATTCTGAACTAGCGCGATTTACTGCAGGGTAGCTACATATTCTTAAACACATACACATTCAGTGCGCAATACTACATTTTCCGACAGCTCCGCATGCCAGATGGTTTTTATGAGCCGCTTTTCCCTGGCAGTCAGATGTTTGTCATTGCTAGGGATGGCAAAAAAAAATTAAATTATCGATTAGTTAATCATATGATTAATCACAATCCGAAAGAAATTAAATGCAATTACTGAGAAATAATCCATTAATCGAATTTTTAAAGTAACTTTTTTGCAGTGAGTATTCACCAAAACACTTTTCCATAAATAATTTCTAATTCTCTTGTTAATTAGCATTAAATAAAATAGAACGAGTAATTTTAGCGGCGATAATTATTTATTATTTAAGCGGTTTGTTGTTTAGCCAGTCAGCAGGCATCGAGGTATCAACTGGCAGTATTTTTTCGAAAGTTCGTAAAGTTATGGGTAAACAGTTTTCATTTCCTTCCAAGCTTCGATGATATTCCGCTAAGCCGTCTCCACAGGATAAAATTTATTGCTGTCCAGCTCTCATTTTAGTTGCTAGATATATAGTTTATACCACTGGCAATATTTGTGTGGGCTTTTTATATTATTCTTTTTTTAATTTTTGATATAAGCATTTGTAAGATTAATTAAGTAATTAATTTAGATGGCTTCTAAAACGTATTTTTGCCGGATTAAAATATCAATAATGTTGCCGCCACGAAGTTATCGTGTCAATGAAAATGTAGCTGTAAACTAATTAAATGCCGGTAATTGATGGCAAGATATATATTGCTCTTGAAGAGCAATGAGCGGTGCCTATTGACTATTTACATATATTCTAGCATATGTATCAAGATATAAACTTTATCCTGTGGAGACTGGCAGTTAGTTCTAGAGAATTTTAACGTTGCCACACTTAGTTTTGTAGCTTTTACAATGGGCTTACATGCACAACTATTTACACCATTGCATGCCCTGAACGTGAGCAATTCTAGCCGCTGCTTGCAATTTTAGACAACTACAGAATTCCTCTTTCTTGAAAATATTTTAACGATTATTTTACAATTAAAATCGTAAATTGGCAAAAATAATCGATTTATTTAATTAAATGATTAACCAATGCCACCCCTAGGCATTGTCCATCGAGGAACAGTTGATTTCGGATTTTACTTTTTATTGTTTCATGTCCGTAGATTATGGATACTTGATACTCTGAAATTCGGCAAATTTACGTCGATAAACCATAACTATTCGTTCAATAGGAGGACATTAGTTATATATGTATGTCACATCGTGCGACGATAAATATTGCACACAGAAAAATAAATATACATACTTGCAAAACTAGGAGTCTAGGTTTTCTAACTGTGGTCCGAATTTTTTTGAAAATACTTTGAAATATCAAAGACATGGTTTATTCAAAAAATTATTAAAAAAATGTAGCGTAATGTTGAGAAACAGTATAAGTATTAAATAACAGAAAAAAATCTGCAGAATTTTTAAGAATTAAATTTGTTACCCCACAAATACGAACAGGCATTGAAAATGTGCTTTTAAAATTTCCAATAAATATTATTGAACAAATTTTTTTCAAGGTCTAAGATATACACGACCACATCCTCGAATTTCGCCCTTCTAACCTCGGTCTCACCTGGCTCTACGAAACCGGCCAAGGGACCTTTTTTAATTCTTTGTAACTCTCAACTTCGGTAGGTGTTTTAGCAGGATACCTTCTAATTGGAATGCACCTTATCTTAAGCTGTCTTGTTTTTCGAGGATATGCTCTCAGAAACTTATTAACCAGCCCTGAGGAACTCTCCCGGCTGACATCGGCCTCCTACGAAACTTTGTTCTGTCCATACACCGTTTTTCGCTGTCGATTACAGGTGAATGTAAAAAGTGGTTTTCCAATGGCTAATATCCAAGTGTGTTTTACTTTTAAAGCTGAAAGTTTTTCCATTTGTGTAACCATATTTCATTTCTCTTCAACTCGAGGAAGCTATGGACTACTATTGCTTTGCAACGAAAGGAACTTACTGCTTGCTGTATTTAATATTGCGTAATTATTAACAAATGTATACTATATACATACATCCATGCATATGACCTATGTATATATGTATGTATAATTACTTTTATGAGATCTGACTATGGTCATCTTAATTCATTTGTCGTTTTACTTTTTAAAATTGTATTACGCTTGCTATCTGATTACATACAAGGAATTAATTATATTATAATTGCAGCATTAATTAATACATAAAGAAGAAGAATTAATAATCCACTGTACCCAGCAAGAACGACCTAACACATTCTCAAATACACACTTACAAGATTGTCCATGAAAACAGTTAAGATTTCACGTGTTCTAAGTCCTCCTGGGTTATTAAAATAGTACGTACGCATATTCTTATGTACATATGTAAGTAACGCAGATATGTAAGTATATATATATATATATATATATAAAATTTATGATGGATTGATTGAATATCTGTTACGATTTCGAATCAATTATGCAATAAGTATCATTCACATATTGCACATATTCACTTACATTTGTTTAGGGTAGAGTTGCTTATCTAAAACTTATTCATGCATAATACATACATTCATATATAGAACGTTTGACATGTACCCTGCAGAGAAAGTGACTAGTTGTGAACTAGAATTCTAGCAGCTTTTCAATGTTAGCGACTAGTATTTTTAACATTGCGATGTCCTACGAGATGTCAATTGTCAGACTATACATCAGCATATACTAGTAGAAATAGTAGT